TTTTTTTTTTTTTTTTTTTTTTTTTTTTTTAAGGGAGACACATTAAATTAGATGATCGTTGTGTGGCAGTATGCATAATGAATTTTCTTTCGGAGGGACAGATTTATTGCGTCGGTAGTTGGGGACTGTTTTACATATAAAATTAACCTCTACCTTCTTCATGAACATGACTTTACCGATTTTCGATATTACTTTTTCCATACCACCTTTTCTTTTTTTTTTATTAGACATAACTTTATTATATATATATATATATATTTCGACTCCTATATAAGTATATTATATTTTATTACTTCACATATAAATTGTAATATTACACATTATGGAATACGATAAAATAATTCATTAGATATTATATTCGTTAACAAAAATATTTATAATAACATCAAATTCGATATGTGCGTGTGATTTACCTTTTCCATAAGCTCGCGTACAATGCCATTCCACTCTTTGGTTTCAGGATTATAAACTCCGTACATATGGTCAGGTACTAGACGAATAACATACTGAAAACCAACTTGACCAGCAATCCATTTGAGTAAATCGATACAAAACCCTTCGAATCTTGCATTTCCAGTTAAATTTTTATCCTCTTTTACCATTACGTATGGTCTTTCCTATGAAAAAAAAAAAAACAAATAAATCTCGTTAGAAATAATGGCTACGTATTAAAATATATATTTTTTTTAAGTATACAATAAGTATGAATTAGGATTAAAAATGTATAATGATAAATAAAAAATTATGATACATGAAAATATTAAACATATTTTTTCGTTCATTGTCTTATAATTAAAGGTGGGTTTGAATGTATGACCTTTACATTATTCATTCTGTAAATCTCCGATTTATCTGTACATGTCGTGTTTATCTTGAATAATGGATGCAATTCATTTATAAAGCTTTTAAAATGAAACATTGCTATCGCGAATGTAATAGAACACGTATCATAAGTTTTTTTATTTTTTTATTTTTTTTTTTTTTTATATATTTATGTAATATTGTATATACAATCATGAAAACGAATATAATGTAAACGATGCGCAATATTATGAATTTGGTAATATAAACAATAAACTTGATGAAGCAATCAAGATATATTTAGTGTGGAAATGATATTTGCGAAAGTAGAAATGATTCAATGGAAATTCATTAATTACGGGGTTGAATATAATATGATTGGACATTTCTAAAAATAATATTTCACTTCATAGTAATATTTGACTTTTGATTAATTTCTCGCAAATGATCAGGTCTTTCCACTTGATTCATATTCTAAGATGAAAAAAAAAAAAATATAATAATATTCAATTCGATTGTAGTATGATTTACTTCTCTTGTCATTACGACCAGGGTGATATTCGTCGCTGTCGTTTCGTAAAAAGCACCCACATCCGTGATATTAACGCCGCTTCCAGGCTTCCATTCTCCTACTTTCACAAGATCTTCCTTCTTTAATTTTAGTAGATCCAATTTGAAATTATTTCTCTTGCCTTCGTTGAACTCTATACGTCCGGTTAACCCATGTAAACCTGCCTGCAGCAGAAATGTCTAGAGCTCGATTACGTTCGATCTCTCAATTTATTATCAATAATATTATTTTTATAATTGACACGAGTTATTGGGGTTAATGTATGGAAGAGTTTACGTAGTTTGTTTGAACAATTTTCAATAAATATTTAAATTAAACGTATTACCGACGATAATCAAATGAACAAACAACAAATGATACATTATTTAACAATGTAAATGTTTTATTTTTTTTTTTATTTTTTCGTTTAACTTATCGTACGATTGTAGAAAATTTTTGCCTGTTAATTAGCAGCCACGGTCTACGAATGAGAAAGTCTGTTCGCGATACGTCTAATTTATGGATGCTATCTGGTACCAACCCTCTTCCCCAATCATCCATATCTGCTCGAATCCCATCCCTTTCTCACATATTCCCTCTCTTTCTCGTACATATGTAATATTCGTCATTCGATATCCTTATCGGTTGTAAAACTTTACCAATGAGAAATCGTTTGTTCATGGAACTAATCTTTAATTGGTATCGATTGTTCTTTTATTAACTTGTCAGAAATAGAAAATGGGAAAAGGAAAAAGATTTTTTAATGTTTAATTTAACGTGGTTTATAATTTAAATAGAAAATATGACGTATTTAAAAAGAATATTCTTTCAGACAATTTTTTTTTTTTTTTTTAAATACGTTAAGTATAGTTTCGTTTTAAATGTAAATTACTTTAAATCGTGTGAATCATATCGAATTGTAAAGCTCCATGGCGGAAACATTGGTTCAAAAAATATGTTAAAGAGTTGCGTAATAAGTTCTTATATTCGTGAAAAATTTGAAATATCACTTCGTTAAGCTGCTTGAATTATTTCGAAAGAGTTAAAATATATTTGGATCAACCTTTTCAATTGCGATTCACTTGTTAACAAAATAAATAACGATATATATGTTTCTATAAACGATATATATATATATATATATATATATATAATATATCCTATTTAACAAATTATTCTTCAACCTTTTATTGCAATTTTTTGTTTCGTTCCGTTTATTAACTTTTCACAATCGTATTTCAATTTCGATTTAAACAGAGAAAATAAATGTTAGCTTTTTATATATATGGTACAGCTTTTCAATAATAATCAAAACTTTTCAACGTGCTCGTTTTCAATTTGATAATATTTTTATTTTTTGTTTTATAAATTCGAAGTTATTACGAATATTTTACGAAATCTTTTTATTATTTCTCTCTCTCTTTCTCTCTGTCTCATAAATTTCATTGTATTCGATATTTGAAATAATATATTTGAAAATGTTCTAATATATTTCTAACAAAAACTAAAATAATATAAATAAAAGAATAGAAGAATTTAATAGGAGGCGAAGTAAAAAAAAAAGAAAAAAAAGTAAAATATCAAGATCTTTCGAAGAGTGTGGAATGGCAATGAGAATCGATTTTCCACAAAATTGGACAGAAAGAAAGAAAGAAAGAAAGAATCGTAAGGGGGTATGATGTGATGGTGGTAGCGATGGTGGTAGTGGTTATTCGCATTTTACGTTCTCTTAAAGAATATAGAAAAGTCCTTTTCTCGGTGATTCTTTTAACATTTCATTTTTTTTCTTTCTTTCTTTTTTTTTTTTTTGTTCTCGAAGAAGCTTCGCGATTATTCGCTCGACTTTTTCTGAACTTATCCTCGAGCACGTGGCCAATTTTCTTCGTACCGTATCTACCGAGTGAATAAAAAAAAAAAAGAAGAAAAAAAACTTATAAAAAGCTGTACAAAAGAGAGAGGGAAGAAAAGAATGAAGGGACCAGGAGGGTTGAGAAAGGGGGGGTGGGATAAAAGATAGGGATGAGACGACGGAATAATTCGCAGGAAGCACCGATCGTTCCGTCTTGTAAGTTTTCAAGACGTGCATCCGACACGGTGTGCTCGGCCGATTCAGGATGCGCTTTGATGCGCTTCCTGGTCTGCGAACGTCAGGATCGGACAACTCAATTTCCATCTCGTTCCTTCCTACGAAACTTTCTAAACGAACGCGCATGCTTCGGATAAAGTTGATCGTCAAAAGAAAAAATTTACTCCCTATTCCTTTTTTTCTTTTTGTTTTTTGTTTTTTTGTTTTTTTTTCTACAATTTTATCTCTTGATTATTTATTTAAACCATGGCGAGTTTTTAATTAAAAATATATTTACGTATAATATACTGTTACATTGATAATTAAAATATATATATATATATATATATATATATATATATATATATATATATATATATACCTACGCTTTTTATAATGCTTCACGTATTTTGTTTCTGTTTCAATATTAAAAGAATTGCGTGTTCACCTTTTCTTTTTTAATTTATCGAATCATAGTAATTGAATAATAATAATAATAATAATAATAATCAGGAGATAAAATATAAAAGATATAAGATTGTTCTAGCGAAGATTGTTAAATCTAATATTCTCAGTTTGAGCTTAAGGAGGAAAGGCATCAGTGACACATGAATAATTAAACAGCGTATTTAGCAAATAGCTCGAATGTATAGTGAAACCTATGTTAACTTGTATTCCTATTTCTACCCTATCTTGAGTATACCATCTCCCTCCTAACGTCTACCGTAAGTACATAAACGCGGAACACAATGTTATCCAAACGTTATATAGGAGGATAGAACACGTAGGAAACTAAGCACGCTCTCTAGCTTCTCCTACGAACACACAGAGACATTATTTCGTATGTCATGCACGGACACACATAAGGTAGGAACGTATATTAACTTCAAATTACAGCTTGAAATTGAACTAACGGGATGGATTACATGGTGACAACTTACATTCACATATGGACATGTTATTTATTTTATGTTTCAATTCTTCTTCCAAAAAAATTCTGTACGACAACACAAGTTAATCCTACATACCTGTAAAGTTTCTACTTCTTCAATTTTTTTCCTGCTCTTTTTTATTGAATTTATATTTATGAATATTAATTACAAAAATAATTTTTATCATTTTTTGTAAAAACATTACGCCTGTAGGAATGCAACCCGCCAGACACATTTTGAAAATGTTGCTTGCGAGTGCCATCTACTGGGACGGACTTTTTTTTTCAGTCTAAACTGTTCATATACGTATGTATTACGGGTTGCCTATCTTTCGGGCAGAAAAAAATTCCGCCCCAGTTGATGGCACTCGCAAGCAACATTTTCATGTGTGTCTGGCAGGTTGCATTCCTATAGGCATAATGTTTTTATAAATAATATTAAAAATTTAATTTTAAGATTGAAATTAATCAATGATAGACATTTCATTATCGTTTAAAAACGAAAGAAACTAAAAAAAGCAAAATGTGAAAAGTAAAAGAAGAATAGACGATTGGAAACGTTTTCTAGTTTCAACTACATCTATTTAATATGTACGAATTCAAAGGTCTGCGAGGACTCGTTCGTTCTCATTTGAAAATACGGAAAATTTACATTTAGCGATTCGTCAACGCATTCGAATTGGAAACACTCATCGTACTGTTTGTCGTTTGATATACTTCGTCATTTTCCCATTTCGAAATTGTATAAAAGCGAAGAAAAGCCCTCATTAAAAGAAAAATATAAAAATATGCATTCTTGTTTTCAAATACGTTCAAATATTTTCTCACTCGTACGTTTTATTGATCGCAATTGTTTAATAACCACGTATCGTAACATATCGAATTGAAAACTCGAGATGAAAGAGTACAAGATAAAACTATACCAGAAGAGTTTCTATATTTTTGTATATTTATTATTTTTATTAATACTCAATTGATATTTTTGCCGATAAAATAATATTCCCATATTTATATGGGAGTCTCGGTTATATCCGCGTGTTACATATACACTAAGAAGCTATATGCAGTTAAGAAGAAATATCGTCACATTTATTTTGAAGGAAAACGATCGATAAGGAACATCGTTTAGCTCATTTAATATAGAGAGAGAATTTTTGTAATTTCTGTCGATTTTCTTCTCGATTATATATGTAAGTATAATCGACGCGTTTATCTGTCTGTCTCTCTCTCTCTCTCTCTTTCTCTCTTTCTCTATTAGTTTTGGTATTTGCTTTGGAAATAGATAGAGAGATAAATAAAGAAAGGGAGAGAAGGAGAATCGTTGAGGCGCCAGACATAATCCAGTCTACGAACTTTCGTGAGATCTTCCCGAATTTCTCTCCAAGAGTTAGAGTTGGTCTACAAGTCAGTTAGGATTCGGATGACTTCACGAGAAGAGAGAGAGAGAGAGAGAGAGAGAGAGAGAGTTTGTTACAACGACGCCTAGATTTGGCCGCAGTTCTAATAAAGAAATGACGAGAACTCGAGGAAATCTCGTTTGACCCAATTAAATCCGTTCGATAATCGATAGAAAAGAAATTGGTCAACCAATCCCATCCCCCCTCCCCTCCCCCTTCATGTCAGAGAAGCATAATATTTCCAACACCGGAAACTTCTTTTCCTTCCCTCCTTTTTTTTTTTTCTTCAATTTTTTTCTTCGAATATCCCGAGTAATCGTTTCTCGTCTCGAACGTTCCCCTCGTGGCTCGTTACCTTTTCCCTTATTTTTTTTGTTCATTTTCTTTTGGACCGTTTCAATTTCTCGCGTTTTGTTTTCTCTTTTTATTAGCTTTGTTTTTTTTTTTTATTTCCCGTCTTCAGTCTGAAGATTTTCTCTTTAACGAGCTACGATTTTTCTCACGAAATAATAACATAGGAAATTCGTATTATCGTGATAACACTGGTGTATAGGAAATTTTGTCGATGATTTATTAAGATCTCATGTTAAATCAATGATCGGATTTTCTGTGAGATTTGACGTAAAGTTTTGACAACAACAAATTTAATTAGGAATGAATATTACTTGATTATAATAAAAAAAAAAATTTATCTTCAAATAGAAGGATTATTAAAATTTCTCACCGATATACTAATCCTATTAGATTAAGAATTTCTAATGTATTCGTAATGGAGAATATTCGAAGGAAGAAAGGAAGGAAGGAAGGAAGGAAGCTTTAGACTAGTTACGGTTCTTATTATTCCGCATTGGTCTCGATCCAGCGAATATTCATCTCGAATATCTAAGGAGAAACTTGTTACTACTCAGAAGTGCACTAAGGTTGTTCGTTCGTTTCTACGTTGCATAACAACAGTTATATTTCCTCGGCTCGATGATGGACTTTGTAGTTATGGAAAATTTTGATTAGATTTTAACTTATTATTATTTCAAATTCACGAATGATCGATCGATACGAAAAATCGATAACCAACGTACTTACGGAATTGATGTAGTTGTAAAGGGATAGACCGTCGTCCCAGGGTTCTTCCTTTTCGCAAGACAAATTAGCTGGTCTTAAATCGTGGCTTCTATCCAGTGCTGCCAATCCATGGGCAAAAACTTGTACGCTGTCGTACACTAAAGCTGGTTCTGCCTGAAACATATTTAAACCGTTCGTGAGACAAGATAAATGGATAAATATAAAAAGATTTTTTATATGTTTCGATTAAGTTTTCTTCTTGTGGGGAAAAGAAAAAGGAAGAAAACGACTCTTTTAAAATAATAACAAAAGAAAGCTACGACGACGTAAAAGATACTATAAGAGGTTCGTTTTATTCGAGAGTTCAATTTTGATAGGATGTAAAAGAGAAAGAATAATTCGAAAAGTTGTAACATTCGCGAAATATATCTCTCAATTTACGTTCACAGAAACTTACGGATGAGATCGAGTTAAGAAACGCTTCAACTTTTATTCTATGAATTGTATAAAAGGAAATACCAATTTTCTACTTTTTGATGAAACCTTTTTTTTTCTTCTTCTTTTTTTTTTTTACATTAAAACCAATCGTTAATAATTCTTAAGATCTAAATGTAATTTTATTTTTATTTGATTAAAGAGAAAAAGCATTAGATATATAAATCTAACAATTTATTCACGCTGAACGAGAACTTATGGGTTAGTATTATAATTATAAAAAAATTCGCAGTTTCATTTTTTAGTTGAAAGTTTCTACCAACCTGGATAACACCGGTTTTATTTAGAATCGCATGGCCAATCGGTTGGAAACGTTCCATCTGTCGAAGCGTTTCAGCGACCTTGGCTTCCTCGAGATCAACCAAGCGGAAGGCCGTCATGTTGACGCTGTTGTACTTGAAATCTTCTAAATCGAACGTTTCGATATCCTGGAGAAAAAGGGACAGGTGGTTGGTTGATCGTGAACGATCGTAAAATAATATCTTATGCGAGTGAAACAATGTAAAAATATACGACGACGACGACGACGACGACGACGACGATACATTTCCATAACTCGAATTGCAAACTATTTCAACCCTATTCATGATGTCTCTCGTTCAGAAAAATTCTCCCCTTATCAAAAAAATTTTCAAATAACTTACAATCGAATAACAAATGGAATGGGAGTTAAACGTAACAATGAATTCTAATCATTTGTTCATTTGATTATTTTACAATTGTTTTATTGGAAATGGTTTATGATATAATATATATATATATATATTATCACGTTTCCAAATGTTATTTCAAATTCGATTTGGATTTTATTATTATTTTTTAAACTGGCATGGACTATTCTCGCTGACTATCGGAAGTCGACCGGTGGCAATGTGTCCAATCAGTTGGACGTTCGAAACGAGAAAAAACGGGTTGGGAAAATAGGGGGAGAGAAAAAAAAAGAAAAAGAAAAATAGGAAAAAAAGGAACAGTGAGGTTCGGTGAATGACACCGTAATCACCAGTTGTACGGTTCAACGATTTCAACCAGTCAACTGTCTACTCTTCTTCTTCTTTAGTTTTCGTGGTGAGGAAAGGGAGAAATAGAAATAAAGAGAAAGTGAGAAAAAGCGTCAGGTGATTTATAATTACACGGGGACGTAAGCCAGACGCGTCGCGACGCATTACTCGCGACGGGAGATCGTTAAAGTAAATAATGCAGTTCTCTTCAGAAGAACGCCGACGATTCTCGAGGAGGAATTCGTTTCGAAAAAAAGGAGGGAGGAGAAGGAGGAGCAGCTTCTTTCACCCTTTTTTCCCCCCTTTTTTTTCTTTCCTTTTCCTTTTCATCCTTTCCGTCATTCCTTTATCTTACTGGCCCTTTTCTTTCGAATTATAACGATAACGATTCTAACCGGGGGGCCGCTAGGTCTCTTGCAATTTTCTACATTGCACACGTATGCTGCTGTCTGTATGTCTGTCTGTCCGTCTACCTGTCTGTTAAGAAACTCGTTTTTCTTTTGATTTATTCCAAGACAGTCAAGAGTAGAAACAAACCATTCGATTTTCCTCGGACCCGAGTTGGGAAAAAAAAGTTGGATTTGAAAACTCTGACTTCTTTTTCTTAAATCTCGTTATTTATATCGTTAATGATAAAAACAATCTTTTTATAAAATCTTTAACAGCAAGAGAAAGAGAAAGATAAAGAGAAAGAGAAAGAGAAAGAGAAATTTGGTATGATTTAAATAATGATAATTTTATTCTATAAACTGGTTTTTCAATGAAAAGGAATTCGATATCGTCAAATAACGAGTTTCTCTTATTTGCTAAAGAAATACATTCGTAACGTTTTATCGATATTACGAAACTGCTTCAGCGAGGATCACGATTGGGAATAGACTCGTATCGATAATCGATGAACTTTGGTAAATAAATTTTATCTATATTCGAATCGTCCTCCTCCTACCCCACGGTTCTTCTATTCCCATTCAATGCGACCACATGAATTTCATTAATTTTCATCGACGACGAGGAGTACCAATGCTTTATACGTGTTTTGCACTTCATTATTTGCGTCACTGCGTGTTCGTCCTACACCAGATATGTACTAATTTCATTGCTGTGATACTAGATCCTATAAACTTCATTTGACAAAGAATTTTCGATATATAATTCGATTTGAATTTTAGTCGTTAATCGAATTATTAGTTTCCTCAATGATTGAAGATCCAATTTCGAGAGATAATTCAATAATTAATTGATGTTTTAATGATAACTTTAAATTTTATAGCAAGCCTAATAAAGTTAAAGATTTGTTGGTTATTCAAATATTTGTCTTTTGGAATTTATCTAATTTTTTTTTTGTTTTCTATTTTTCAAATCGGATCAAAGAATTTCGTGAAAGTATACTTACGAACGTTGTGAACATGTAGTGGTATCTGTAGTCATTCATTTGCAGCTGCAATATCTGCAACAAAAAGGAAAAACAAAAATAAAAAACGAGAAAGGAACGATCAGATTTCGTAAGCGATCGAATTGCTATCGACGTGTGCTGTGCATGTTCTCGCGTTGCATTCGAATGACTATGACTACACGTTACTGGCTTTAGTTGAGTTATCAGACAAAAGCTTTTATCTTTAGGAATGTAAGAACATTTTATTCCTTTTTTGGGGGATTTGGAAAAGACGAAAAATGCACGATGACTGAAAAGAGAGAGAGAGAGAGAGAGAGAGAGAGAGAGAGAGAGAGAGAGATAGAGGGAGGGATTAAGAGATAAAAAAGGGAAAAAGTAAAATATTGGAAAGAAATAAAAAGGTAATATGTGAGAGTGTGGGTAAGCATCGATAAAAATGGAACAATTTTTCAAAGCACGTCGATAGATTTTTTTTAACTGTGCAACAATTCGAATAACTATGACAAGAGAGACAGGGAGAGGGGGACAGAGAGAGAGAAAAAATCATTCGAGCGTACACATATACATACGAACAATGACGCGTCGATGGTTCGTTGGATTATGTAAAATCTTTTGCGTTTTATCGTACGCAATCTGGCGTTTGGAGAAAGAGTTGAAAATTTGGGAAATACTCCCATTTTTTTTCCTTTCCTCTCAACCATTTGTGTTCCTTTTTACCTATGCATTATTGTACACTATATATAAACGTATATATCTATACACACATACATATAATACGGGACACGAAACACGTTGTCACGAAGTCGGCCCAATTCGCATGAATTGTTTTCGACGTTTGTTTCGTTACCACTGACAATTCGCATGATTTAATTTTACGAGCTGGTTGCTTTCACAACCAACGAACGACACTTCGCCGAATGAACGCTCGAAATGGACGGAAGGGTATTTGTCATATATTTTTTTTGTCCCCCGCCCTTTCTTTTCTTCCTCTTTTTATTTCTTTTTTTTTTTTCGAACCTTTGTACCAAATACGAATGTAAGCACTCTCGATGTGAACAATATTTCCCACGTATATCAATTATTTAAAAAATATCAGAAAACCGAAGTATAATTCGTGTTGGTTTTTAATGTCTTTATTTATATCATTGACACCAAAATTTGCTTATGGTAGTTATTATTGAAAAAAAAAAAAAAAATGAAAAAAAAATAAAGTCACATCTTTTTCTCAGCCCTTTCTCTTTTTCCTACGATCTTATCTAAACCTTTATATTATCGTTTTATTGATTGAACTTTGCTCCTGAACGTGCCAAGGACACGCTTCGACGAACATTCTCTTCAGAACAGTTCGATTTTCTCAAGAATCGATCGGTAGATCAACAGAGCCAAGTCTCGAATGCTTTTCTCTCTCTCGAAATATCGTTCTACCAACGTTTGCAATTTCCTTCCAACGGACAGAGAAAAATTATTACTATCGACGAGCTATATTCCAAGAAAAACAAAAAGTCATGACAGAAAGTTGATTTCGCGAATATATATATATATACAAGAATATATGAAAAATGTATTCACAAAGTTTTTACAATTATATAGATATGTATATTTATTAGGAATGGTATTTCCTTGAAGCTTATTTTACTACCTTATTCGAGACATTTGTGTTTTTCTTTTTTTATGGTTAGAAAATCAAATGTTTTACGTTTTTTTTTTTTTTTTTAAATGCAATGTAGTTACAGGTGAAAAACTTTGAAATAGTACTTTTTTATCGATCATAAATTAAAATATTAAAGTCAAGATACTTACGGCACGAAAAAATTGTTGCATGTGCGCTGGATCGGTGTCGACGATTAATTTGAAAATTTCCTTATGTCTGACTTCTTGTAAAACTTGTCTGTAAGATCCAGGACCTGCTTGACGTATATACATTTCCGTTCTCGTTGATGGCGGTGATTTAACAAGATCCTGTAGTTTGAATAAACCTGCCAACCAACGAATCATGAAAAAACATCATTTTAAATTATGAGTAAAGAAACCACGGACTTATAAAATATTTTATAAATTGTACAGTCCTTACGTTTTACGATTTATACCACGTAGAAATAATAAAATACTGTAAAAAAGTTCTTTCTTATACTTCATCTCTGTTTTTGGATTATAGTATGTGTGATAGTGTGTGTGTGTGTGTACTATCAAGAAGTCTTTCTTCAAGCGTGAAAAGTTAAAAACGTTTGGTCGTGTTATGCGCTTTAATGCGCTTCTGTCGTTCGTGGTGTGTCCTCAGGGAGAAGGAACAAAAGGTGATGGAAAGAAGGATAATTCAATTTGTTGGAAAACAACGGAGGCTTTGGTACCATACCATACGAAAAGAACTCGACGAAGTGGCAATCTGTAGTCTCTTTATAACAGCTTCCACCTTGTTCGAAAAATTTGTTAGAACGTTGGTGGTGAAAGGGGGTTGAACGAGAGGTAAGGAAAAATAGTTCGTCCTCGGTTCCCTCATCTAATTCGATCTAGTACTTCTCGATCGTCACAGTTCTCTTTCCAACAAGATAATCTTGTTTTACTTCTATGTACTGTCTTCAACTTTTCCCGTTTATCTTTTAAACGAGAAATACTTCATATATTTTTCTCTCTCTCTATATATATATATATAATATTACATCAATAAATGAAAAAGAAAATAAAAGAAGAGAAGAAGAAGAAGAAGAAGAAGAAAATGTCGATAAAATCAGGTTCTATGAAATAAAAAAAGAGAAAGAAATAACAAAATATTCCTTGTTTGTAAATTTTCATTTTATTTCGAAGTCACTGATTTGAAGTGACATTTTAAAAGAAAGTAAAATAGAAAGAGAGAGAGAGAGAGAGAGAGAAATAATATTAGAAAAAAGGAATGAGAAAATAGAGGTAAAAGAGATAAATTGCAGAAAGAAAGACACGGTGATGAAAACTTTCGCTGAATATCTTACTCTTCCTCGTTGTTCTTGTTAAAAAAACGTTAAATTGAAAAATAACAAACTTCGTCTCTGTAGATGCATCGTCCTCCAATTACGATGGCTCCTTTTTATACTCGACTCGTTTTTCTTTGTTTAATAGATATGCGCTTGCGCGTTTTCTTTTTCTTTTTTTCTTTTTTAAAGACATAGTCAAAAGAAAGAGGAGGAGGAGGAGGAGGAGGAGGAGGAGGAGGAGAGGTAAGCGCAAAGAAAAAGAAGTAAACGCTCAAGGGTATGAAGAAAGTCTACTTTATGGAGTAACCTACAAAACCCACCCCCCTCGCCATCTTCGCCGCCACTATCACGAACGAATGGCTAGGGTTGGTTTGTAGTTTGAAAATTTATGACACGATACCGAAAGTACCCTATCCTCTATGTTAGGACCAGAAAGAATTTAAGAAGGGATACACTTTTCTCCATTACCTTTTCTTATTTCTTTGAACAATAATAATGAACTCACTTACTCGTAAAATAATCAGTCGAGAATATTGTTGAGAATTGTTGGTTGGTTACTTCGATGAAAGATTGAACATTTTTTTACGATAAACTTTTTATCACTAAATCATTGGTATTCATAAAAACGTATGACCATTTATATTTCTTTTTTATTTCTTTTTTTTTTTTTTTTTGATTAATAAAAAGTTGAAGTGTTCCAAAAGTATATATAAAAATTGTCGTTTAACCTTAGCCAAATATTATTTACTTTATATACTTGAGACACCATCATCTTGTTATTAGGATATTACTCTTTCGTAATGTCGCAACTTTTACGAGTAAAAGTCGAAAGGACGGTGATAATCCACAGTGAATTCGACCGGCTGCGATTTCGAGTAGTAGATATTTTAACGCTGAAAATTCGTGGCATCCGAAATACGTTGGATAGACGAAAACTATTTTCTCCTCTTCAAGTTTTAACGAACTCTAAAACGGGACGTTACTCCACTGATGAATATTTGGATGGGAACGTATGCGAGTATATTCTCCTTGAAAATGTTACACCGTTGAAATACGCGAAATATAGCTAGATATGCAGATAAATATGTAGATAAGCATGTGAGTGAGCATCTGCATACGTATTTTAAGTTGTAATAAGTTCCTGACAAAATTTACGTACATATACAAATAGATAGATAGATAGATAGATATTACTAGACAGAATTATCGAAGATTTGTTCGAGCAAATTATTATAATAGATGTAATTAATAAATAAGAAGGATAATGGTTAGGAAAATGTAAATAATTTCGAAATATCCTTATCTCGAAAATGTACTTATTAGTTTTTATCATTCTCTTTGTGAATAAAGTTTTATAAATTGTACCTAGTTACAAAACTTACCATTGTTTTCCTTTTCTTGGTAATGTAACGTTTCTTCTTAAGAAAATATCTCGTTTTCAAACTTAACTCATTAGATTTTTCGTTATGTTTAGATTTAAATATACGAAACTCGTTTTGAAATAACGAGATACTTAAAAAAAAAAAACTTTGCCATTTACGTTCACGAACATATCGAATCAATTAAAACCCGAATGGATGATGATATAAATGATGAGAAAATGATATTACGATAAAATAAACGTAACAAACTATATTTTCGTTCTTTTTAAGCTAGAAGAAATTTTTAGAGTTCGATTTGAAGTTCATTGTTAAGGCAAGAGAAAGAAAGCAAAGAAAGTAGAAGTTTTTTTGGACGTTTCCAGGTGAACGATTTTTCTTTCTACACTGATTTCGATCGTTGACTTCTCTTTCTTTCAAGAGAAATTCTCGTTTCGTGAACCGAGTTTTGAATCGTATTTAAAGATCACCATTAAAACGAAATATAAAGGGGGACAAACGTTTGGGAGTCGCGTTATGAGGTTTACAGAGTCGCACGTAAACATAGTTATATCCGCGTGGATATGACAGCTCGACATTTTCTACGTTCCATTCGTGTTACCATGGGCTACCTAGTACTGTCCACAACCACCACTTATACCAACTGATTCCAACGTTTTGTTTTCATGGAAAACTCATCCTCTTAATGACCAACAAATATTCGACGAAAAAAAGAAAACTACATAGGATTTCATTTCGTTCTACGACTTTTTCAACGAAATCCCACGAAAGACAAACTTTTTAGATAAATTTAAACAAACTCTTGCTAATGATACTTAATTAATTCATGGTGTAAAATGTAGTTATTATAATATTACATTCATGTATATAATATTGTAAATTTACGTTAGCCTATTACGAGATATGAATATTAATTAACTATATTTTTCGTACGAATGGGAACTCGTTGAAAAGGCACTGCACTCACCGTAATCCTCTTCGTAAATGATGGCTACTCTAGTCCAATTCAGAAAGGACATGAGGTCCTTAAAGGCTTTGTTGAGGTGGTCTTGAGCCGGGTAGAGATTTATGCTAAATTCCTTGAACGTTGGCTCAAAGTCGACCCTTGCTTCGAGATGAGGTACGTCCAAAGCTTCGCATATACTTTGAATGTGAGCTCCTAAAAGAGGATCCGAAGGTCCAAAAATACCTTGAACGGACCTCGATAACTGCTTACACGCTGAAACATCAAGATTCTCTTCTTATTATCCCAAAATACTTTTATTGTGAAATTATCTAATAATGTTTTTTATAATCTGAGTTATTTTTAAATGTTTCATATTTTGTAGTCAGGTAAATAGACGAATTTAAAAAATAAATGTCACTGAAAAATGAATTATTTCATATAATAATTATAATTATTATCAAAACATACTTTTATCGATGATACAAATGTTTACTTAATCGACGATTGGTATAGAAATTGTATTCAAAATGAAATTGAATTGAAGAAACTTTCTTTTTTTTTTTTTTTTTGTAATATTGATGGATGACGTTCGTTCTTCAAAATAATTGATAAGTATTTATGTAAAAGTTTAGCAATCGTTTCCGTTTGGTACTCGATTCAGTCTGTTTATATAGGCAAGATACTTTGACGATCATCAATAGCAATGTATTACGTAGTGAACCGGACTGAACTGATGGGATACGGATGGACATGATTTACGACTCTTACGTGTACATATCACCGATGAAAAGCAAGAAGAATGACCAGTGAAATTGATACGTTTTCGAAGGGTCCATTTCCTTATCCATTATACTTTCAGTTACGAAAAGTACAGATAACGATTTTTCACGATTTATCTTTATTCTTTTTCTTCTTATTATTCTTTTATCATTTTCATCGAAGAAAATTATTTTTGGCACGCTATATTATTGTCTATATTGTCGACAACATTGGCGTTAGCATCAACATATAGGACAGGAATTGTTCCAATGGGGGAAATGGACGAACTCGATTTTGAAAATACTCTTGTCGCGTTTAAGCACAGACACCACACTGTTTTCCGGACAACGTACGAATTATTCATGACTGAATTCGAAATTTCTTTGTTTTGAATCGCAAGGGTGGAATCGACGAATGTATTCCAACTGGATCACCGTGCTGAGCCACACGTTGATGTTGTTACCAAACGACGATTTCGTTGACTGCTTGCTCCCCTTGTATTCGACCATTCGTACTATACGTGTGACTGTCATTTATATTCGATTATTACAATTTAACTGTAATACAAGTTGAAAACATTAATACATTCAAATAATTATTAATTATTCAAAAGAAATGTGTGTGTGTGTTTTTTTAAATCTGAAAACACCAGGTATAGGATCGGAGTACCGTCCTAGAAAGAGGATGGTTTATGGGAACATTTAATACAAGTATTCACGAAATTGTTTCATTATAAAAGTGATGTTCAAAGAGAACGGTACTCCTATCCTATATCTGGTGTTATCAGGTAAAAAAACACATTTATTTTGAATAATTAATAATTATTTCAATGCATTAATGCTTTCTACTTGTAGTACATTTAAATTTTATCTTCTCTAAGTCATCATTGTACAGGAGCGATAAAATAATTATATTAAAATGCAAAAAATAGTCAAATTAGAACGTTTTAATCTTAAATTCTATTAATTAGGTTTATTATTCACGTTGCACGCATGTGTAATATTCGGAAAGTCATAAAAACAACATTCAATATCAAAACTTTCATTAAAGACCACGTGCCAGTCTAAAGGTGAATTTCAAATTGGACGGTACTCCGATCAAATATTCCGAGCTTTTAAGCAACATTAGAAACTCCTATTAATTAATTACCTATTTTTTAAATATTTTAATACAATCTACTTACATTACAGGACAATTTAAGGGGTAACACCACTTTAGAATTTTCAATAAATCGATTTTTTTTTTGTTTTAGCTTAAAGTGTACTTTAAACATCTAAAAATAATATGCACTTGAACAGGGTTTTGTTAAGCTACAAATAACGACGCCATTTTGTATCTAAAATCAATAAAAATATTTGTTTACATAGTTGAATATATGATTAACCAATTCTCAAAAAAGAAATTCTATTCCTAATTTAATGTTCGCAAAAAAAAATTCTCAAAAAGAAAGCTTTTTTTTCAGACTCTAGAGTGGTGTTACCCCATAGCCCTCGTAATCATCACTGCGCAGGTGCGATAAAGTAATTATATTAGAATAAAAAAAAATGTTTATCCAGTTCTCTGTATATTCTACCATATATTAAAATGAAAAAGATTTAGATGAAATGTTAACGCATCTATAGTTTTCAACGATTTGAATCAAGTTCTTTGATCAATAGTATGAAAATCAATAACGTTGAGGAAGCCATTTATAGTCAGCTACGAATCTATCGACTACCCTTCGGCATTTGATTCCAAACAAGTCATCGACCGATGTTGATATCTACAACCTATTCGAGTTTTAAGCGCATTCTTTCGGAAAACCCGCTCGTGCTCATCCCGTAACTGAGTTTTTTTTTTTCTTTTTTTTTTCGTATTTTTATCACATACGAAAGTAGTCGACGTAAAGTAAAGAAAATAATAGTGATAACGCGATACGCGCGTTTCAACGTGTAATTAAATCGATATGTACTGTTTCTTCTTGTTTTATTTATAAACTTCAATAATTTTAATTTACATATTTTAATTTATAAATTTCAATAATTACCCATTTGAAATATTGTACATTTTTATTTTATTTAATTACCTATTTATTTACTTTTCAACAAAAAACCGTATTGCACTTAAACTCTATTGCAACTAATACTTTTTCTATTACTCCGGATATAGCTTTGCCATAATTGCTTTCACAACTTTGTTCTTTCTCTTTCTTCCTTTCTCTCTCTCTTTTTCTCTTTCTCTCTCTTGAACTAATACTTATATCGTATTTCAAGATGACCGTCTCGAACGGTTGATCGTTTTACGAAATTCATGAAGATTCGTATTAAATCGATATTTCTAACGTAAATTCAATTTTCTCGACGTTTCACCTTTTACCTCGATTCTTTTTATTTTCTTTTTTATTTTCATTTTATTTTTTTTTTTTTTTTTATTTTCGTTGCAGACTTTGCTTGGAGTTTCATAAACGAACTTACCCTCAATGGTAAGCACTTGAAATATAAAGAAAATTCACCTCGTATAAATAACAATTTTCTACCAGACCTTCTATAGAAAAGGATTTGTATGATTCTAAGAAGAATTTTTACACAATAGACTAGTTGCAATATAACGTGTCTGGAGATTCACTCTAGTTCTACTATTGAGTATAATATGACTGTTGTATAAGATATAATTATTTCTAAGATAGGTAAGGAATAAATGAATGAATGTAATAAAAAAAGAAAAAAATCAAATGAAAAAGATATGGATGAATGTATTGGGTTGGCAAGAAAGTAATATTAATTATATAATAAATAATATATTATATTAAAATAGTTATATTAATATATTAATATAATTAATATAATTATAATTATAATTTAATTTAATTTAATTTAATTTAATTTATTATTTTTATTATTATATTATTATTTTATTATTATATTATTATATTGTT